TATCAATTTTTTTCATTTATAAAATTAATTTTCATAAAAAGGAAAAAAAAAACAAAAAACAAACTTTATATATTGGTATATACTGTGTCCAAAATCGTTTCATCATTTCATCAGCTGTTATTTTTCCTCTAAAATAATTAATAATTTCTTGCCATTTCTGACGAATTTGAATATCATCCAATGATTCAAAAATTGCACTTGTCACTTTGCTCAGGGTCGATACGAGAATTTTGTCGAATAAAAAATTTTTAATCTGAAAATTTGTTTTTTTTTTTTGGAAATGTTTACATTCTGATAATTTCAATTTGATGTTTTTTTCAGTAAAATAAACGAATAGTAATGTTATATGAATACTTTTAACGATAGCAAATAGTAATTTAAATATTATAGAATATGCTTAAAAAGTAAGCCTTTTGGATCAATCAAATGTGCAGAGAAATTTTGAAAAAAAAAAGCAATTATAAATTGTACATTTAAAATATTCATTAAAAATTTGGTTAATGAATAATGTGCTTTTATGATATTATTCAATTTGATTAATTTTATGCATTTATGAAAGGAAAACAATGCATATTTACATGAAATCAATTACTGCTACAAATGGCAATCAATAGAAATATTTCAACATGGTAGTTTTAAAGAAAAAGAAAAAAAATTTGGATGAAGAAGAAAATGAATGATGAATAATAATTTAATAACAAACTTTATTGTAAATTTCAATCGCTTCTCCCTCGTATCGTCGACGATTCATTTCAATATCAACTATTGTTTGTTCTAATTTTGGTAATTGATATTGATGAGTTAATTTTCGCATTTCATAAAGTACAGTTTGTATGATATCAGTTCGTTCAAAATTCTCCCTATATTCTTCCAATGCTCCTGTATGAAAAAAATTCTTCACTAAATTTCTAAGTTTAATTGATAAAAATATTCAAAAAAAAAATCCTAATTTACATTATAACCATCTTACATTACTTTTTTGATGCATCAAATGGTAAAAATTCTGTTAATTAATCAATAGAACTTTAATTCAAACACATTTTTTCAAAAAAAAAAAAAGGCGAAAGAAAATTACAAAAATATTACTTCGCAGATCCTTTAGTTTTAGCATATCTTCCAAACTATCAATAATTGCGGCAGCATTTCGTTGTAAATCATCCAACTTAAAATTATCAATCAATCGTAAATTTGTATGATTGATTGGTTGATAGCAAAGGATTTAAATATTACGAGAAGAAAATTTCAATTAATGTTTTTAAAAAGGTTACAATTAGTAGCAAATTTAAAAATTCATCCTTCTCACAAGCTTCCATATTTCAAATTATTGAAAGTTAAATGAATTCTTTATTGTTAAATTTATTTCAATTATCTCTTTTTGTTGAACGAATATTTTTATTTTTTATTTCCCACTAAAATATTATCAAATATGAAATAGATTAATTATGACCTCCTTGAATAATTGATTAATTAGATCTGAAATCGGTCTCAAAGCATCCATAATTTCTCGCTGTATATTATTGTTATCATCCATTAATTGTTTTAACCGATGAGCAAAATCACTATTTGAGGTCGCTTTGACAAATTGTTCCATTTTCTGACAGTTTTCGAAAATAATTTAAAAATTCTCATTAGCAATTTAAAAATAATATGAATTTTAAATCTTCTAAATTATTTTAAAAGAAGTGTCTCAGATATTTTGTAAAACATTTCACAAAAAATTTGATGAAACCTGATAAGCTTGATCGTATGCAACGAGAATCGCTTCCTTAATTATTTCATAATTATTCTCAATTTCATCCACTAAATTTGCATACTCAGAACCAAGTTCAGCAGCGAAATTTCTGAAAAAAGAGAGGATTATTGCAGAAACTTTTATCTGCATCATATTGAAAAAAGTAATAAATAAATTTCCACATTTCTAAAAAATTTTCACAAAATTCAACAATGCATCCTTTTTTTAAGTCAGGAATTTAAATAAGGATTAAATAGCAAAATAAAACGATAATTTTATAAACTAATAATTATGATTGTTTGCTCGAATCAAATGGAATCATTTCTTCCTTCTAATCTAACATTACATTTACATTTGAACTTTTAACTCTAGCATTAACGGTAATGGTAAATTTATTCATTCTTTTATCTTAATAATTTTAATGGAATTGAAATTAAAACAGTTCACTTCAATTCTCCGGTCCATTCTTTGATTGCGCCATCTAATGTTATCACAATATCGTTGGCAATTTGATTATGTGAGGAAAATATTGGAAGAAGAGCATCTCTCATAAATGTGCTTTGATAAAATTCATTACTTTTCGATATTGTTTCTCTAGCTTTTTTCTGCAAAAAAAAGAATTTTTTTTTTCAAATATTAATGATATCATTAAATTTACATTTATCAATTTTAAAATTATTTGTAAAAGGAAAAAAAAGTGAACATTACATCTTACCATTATTTCATTTTCCATTGCTGGTCGAATATAAATTTTGCTTTTCCAAACATTATCTTCTTTCATCTATAAAATTCAATAATATAAATGTAAAGAAAAAGAAATTTTTTTAAAACTCCAACATAAAACTTGAAATTTTCTAATATTACGATTTTTTCTTTTTGATTAAATGAAGTTAAACTTAAACTTATGTTATGAATTTTTTGATTAAAAAAAAAAAAATTCTGATAAAATAAGAAAAGATTTAAATTCTCAAATATAACATTTGGAAAATGCTTTATAGTTTTG